GTAGTGAGCCGGACGGGGCCCTCTTAGGAGGGTTGCGTGCCCGTCCCCGCAGAGCGCGCCGCGGACGCCTGCTATGGAGGTCGCGCCCTTAAAGCTGCTCCCGCTGGATACGGGCGATGAGGGCACCCAGAGGTGCAGGGTAGGGCCTGCCGCCCTCTCCTTCCTGGGAGCCAGGATCGGGGCCCCGCTGCGGGTCACCCTGCCCACCGGTTGCTGCTTATGCACGGCTTGGCCCAGGCACGATTTGGCAGACGGTTACCTGCAGGTCGACCTGACGTGCAAAACGGCAGGCGTAACTGCAAAGGAGCTAAAAAATCTCACGCTGGACATCAGCCAGCTGAAGCTTTTGGCATATCATCACTTAAAAAAAGTGACTGTGAAAGTAGTCCTTAAGAACTCTGCGCTGAAAAAGTCTACCTCCAGAGGGGTGTTGCAGGAGATAATCAAAGAACTGCTAAGAAGTATTTATGTTTCGCTTCATTACACTGTTACAGTTGCTCCAGCTCTTGAAAATCCCGTGGTGTATATTGAAATACTTTCTGTAGACCCTTTGACAGATGAAGCTGGACTAGTAACCCCCCAAACAAGCATAAAAATTAAAGAGGTTGTTCCTTTAGAATGGTACAGGCATTTATCAGAAGACACTGCGACAATTTCAGTTGCAGGACTAGATGGTGTGGGAAGGTCTCTGAAAGAAATGGTTGACTTACCTTTCCGTTTTCCAAAAACTTTTAAGAAGCTGGGACTTTCTGTCCCTAATGGAGTGCTATTAGTAGGCCCTCCAGGTGTAGGCAAAACCCTTCTGGTAAAGGCAGTAGCAAAAGAAGTGGGTGCCTATCTGTTTTGCATCGGTGGCCCAGCCCTGTATGGTTCAAGACCAGGAGAAAGTGAAGAGAACTTGCGAAAAGTTTTTGAAAAGGGCAGAGAAATGTCCTGTGAAGGACCAACCATTCTCTTTATTGATGAAATTGACTCTTTATGCCCAAAGAGAGGAAGTTCAAACAATGCTCCTGAAGATCGTATTGTTGCTCAATTGCTAACATTATTGGATGGCACAGGTAGCAAGGATAAGATGGTTGTTATGGCAGCAACAAACAGGCCTGATGCCTTAGATCCTGCACTGAGAAGACCTGGCAGATTTGACAGAGAGGTGAGCAGACCTGTTTTTTTCACACCCTCCTTTGCACGGGGAGGGTGGTACAATCAAAATAATTATACTTTTGGAGAAAAAGGGCTACTTAAATGTTATTAATGCGTTCACAGTTAAAAGTATCATTTTAGAGGGTTTGTTAATTGTTGAAATGTATTCTATGGTGGCATTTTTCCAAGTTTTTTTTTCATGTATGAACATTTACCGAATTGTTTTTCTTTTGGATTCAAAGATCTGCTTCCTTATTCCAGTTATTGAAATACTTTATTTTGTGTGTTCATATCTTTGAGTTTATGGACTAAGAATTGTAGCAAGACAAGCACAAATTCACAGGATCATCCTTAAAGGTACTATTATTTCTGACTTCTGTTTTACCTAGTGCATTTTATTAAATGCATGTAATCATCATCTAATTCAGCTCTTATGATGCAAGGCAAGTATTATTTCAGTGCTAAGTCTTATTTTTAAGTTACCTTAAAACATGTCTTTACAGACTGGGGGCTGATGGTGTTATATTAACAGCTGTTTATACAAACACTGTCCACTTGGAAAATAAGTGTAAATGAAAGGTGTTTTAAATATTTGTCATTTGTATAGAGTTTTTTATGTCAGAGTGCTGGAGAACTGCTAATTAGTTTCTTGTAAAATTATTTAATCACAGTATAAGGAAGTATAAATCTTCAGTAAGCAGTATAGAGAGAAAGTTGCTTGCCTAGGTCTATAAAATGAGGAATATAGCAAAATGCCTACTTACTTTTTTTTTTATTATATTTGGTTTAGGTTATTATTGGGACACCAACACTTACACAGAGAGGATCCATCCTGCAGTTGCTTACATCTAGCATGCCAATTTCTGCAGATGTTGATTTGGTTAAACTGGCAGAAATGACAACTGGGTATGTTGGAGCTGACCTTACAGCGCTCTGCAGAGAAGCTGCTATGCAGGCAGTGTTACAGAGCTCTCAGGTAAGGCTGCAAATTAATCAAGAAGGATGTCATTATTAATATGTACCACCTTTTTCCCATTAATGCTCTGCTTTTACTTGAAATGCTCAGCAACTTGAAGAACTCAGAAATTAAAATACTGAAAATAAGCAAGTTATAAATGTAAATATACAGTTTTGCTAGTGACTTTCAGCTCACGCCTGAGGGGACTGTTCTGTCCTTTCTGAGTAAAAAGCTTTACAAAAGGTTTTAGTCTCTCCTCCTTTTTAGGAGTGTGCAAAGGAGATATTTTTTATTTGTTTTTTGAGGAAAACTAAACTGGAGTAGTCCACCAAAGCTCTCTTTTGAAAATATCAGCAATTTAGAATTCTGCTTCTGAACAATAACTGTGCAAATTACAGTTTAGAGTGTTATATATGTATACATGTGTACATATACGTGTACATATTTATATATAAATAAAATAAATGTTTATAACTGCTAGTGATTATAACTTGTCTTTTGGATTGCATGGCTAGATATAACATGAAGTTACAGACACAAGGCATATAGTTATAACTGCCTTATGTCCAGTGGGAATTGCTGCTTCTTAATATTCTTTCCATCTTTATTGAGACTTTTACAAGAATTGTGAGGATTGTTTGCTGTGCTGCTTTGTCTGTGGAAGGTGACGTGGATGAGCAAAAATTTTAAAGCTGTATCTGCAAAATCTGTGGAGCCAGAGCATCTATAGGCGATGGCAGACTCCTCTGTCTTCACTCAGGGGTGGAAAGAAGGGAATGTTTTCTTTCTAGAACTTCTATCTCCTTCAGATACCATACAGATTAAAGGTAGCTAAAATAATTTGATCCTGGTATCCCAGAAAGAAGTAGACGGACAAACAGAAATAAGGAACAAGCGGATGGCCTATTTGACTGGTAAATAGCAAGGTCCTTTGTAAATACATCTTAAGTTTTGTCAGTGTATCTGTAGTTTTAGATAACTGCATCTTTATGCTGTTTGAAATGAGGTACAGTTTTCTCTAAAACACTAATTTCTTTTAATTTTTTTCACATTTAAAAAAAACCCTTGCCTTAAAGAGAATATGCTCTACTTTGTGTTATATGTTTGTGTTCAAGTGTACAGTACATAAGCTTATTAGGGCAGAAGCTTGATTCTTTATCAGTTGTATTTGGCCTTTTGTGGAGTATTTTTCATACTAATGGAACATGATACGTTTATTGATTATATAAAGTATTGCTTATTTGGTGTATGTGGGTTTTCTTCAGGATTCAGCTGAAATGGTGATTAACATGGCAGGCTTCCACGCAGCTTTTAAAAACATTCAGCCATCCTCTTTCCGAGGTGCTATTGGTCTAACAGAGTGTAAACCTGTTACCTGGGAGCAAATTGGTGGTCTTGAAGATGTGAAACTAAAATTAAAACAGGTAATGTATAAAACGTATTTAAATTAAAAGCTAGTTTCTAATAACCATCTTCTCCGGAGTATTCTGTATGCTCTATTATGGACATGCCTTTCCTTGCAAATTATATGTTTACAGATTGTATATTCTAAACTATTTTAGAATACATAAAGTGAATGACAAGCACTGTAATAAGAAGCCTATCAGTGGTCTTTGTCTTGTCACTATAAGTTTCATTAAGCTGCGTTTCACCTGCAAACATAGTATCAAGGAAAAACTAGTGTGTTTTCCTGTAGCAGGAAAAAAAACACAGCAATATAAATTCCTGAGTTTGTAGCCTCAGATGGTATTATCTCTCAGGAATTGTCTTTTGTTCTGTTTCAGACTGAGAGGAAATGAGAGGTTACTCTGGCAATATTATGTCTGATACTACTTTATGTGTATAAGTGATACTACTTTATGTGTATAAGTGTGTGTGTGTATATGCACACGCACATATACATTTTATATAGATGTATGTGTATTTACATACACCCCCCCCCAAAGGAGGACTAAATTAGTATGTCTGTGTTGATTTCAAATTAATGTTTGCATCAAGGAGAGAAAATACTGCGGTCAGCTGTTTTATTGATTGTATCCTAACTCTAGTTGCATTACTGAGAATGCTTCTTTTTTTATGTATTGACAGAGTGTTGAGTGGCCTATGAAGTTTCCTCAGGCTTTTGCTAGGATGGGCCTGTCTCATCCAAAGGGTATTCTTCTTTATGGGCCATCAGGGTGTGCCAAAACCACTCTGGTGAAAGCTGTGGCCACAAGTTGTCATTGTTCCTTTCTCTCTGTAAGTGGTGCTGACCTTTTCTCACCTTATATTGGGGATTCAGAGAAGATTTTGTCTCAGGTACAGCTTTTAAATTGTATAAAGTCTATAGTTTATTTCTGACTGATATAATAGTCAGGTCTAAAGTTTATTATGAAAAACACTATAGGTAAAACTCATCTGATCATTAAACAGAAATAGGTTATGGATTCATATTTATATAAACTGAGACTCTAGCTCTGAAGTGACAGCACTTTTAAACTTGAAGTCTTTCTACCCTTTTGTTTTCAGTCGGCATAAGAATTTAGTTAAGCAGAGTTTGCCTGCAGTAAATGTTAAGTCAGATTGGTTCTCATGATTCTTTATAAATACTATGAATCTATTTTTAAAGTAATTAGGCTAAAATACAGTGTATAAGGTGCTTTCACTTTACATAATAGAATATGCGTTAACACTTTACTTTATGAATCCAAAAAAGGTTTTTCGCCAAGCAAGAGCAAATACTCCAGCAATAATATTCCTAGATGAGATAGACTCAATCTTGGGATCTCGGTCACATTGCAAAACTGGCCATGGTGTGTCAGAGCGGGTTCTTTCTGTTCTTCTCAATGAGTTGGATGGCATTGGACTGAAAGTCACAGAAAGAAGAGGAAACAAACTGCAGCTTGAGGGTGAATGTCTGGAGCGAAGTGATGAGGAGAGAAAGGTATGTTCCATTTTTTTATATATAAAGAACAGTAACTGTTGTCTGGCTGTTCTAAAAATTTTAGGTGTTGGCATTCACGCTTTTTAAGCTTAAAATCATCAAGCTTAAAGATTTAAGATGCTGTTCTAATCTGTCATTTCTAGTTTTTATAACATGCCGTATCTAGGCTGTTAACCATTTTTATGTATTGACGCCCCCGCGGGGGGGGGGGGGGGGTGGTTGTTTGAACAAAACACCCGGATAGGCTAATGAGCCTTGCTATTAGTTGTTCATTTGTCACAAAAATCCTCTTGCTTGAGATAAATGGAATATTTTTGGACTAATTGTGCCATTTTACTATTAAGCAGGTTCCTTCCTGAACTTACTCTATAAGCATTTCCCCTACTGCAATTACAACACTCTCTTGTACATACTTAATATGAAACCAGCACAGTTATCATCAGTTACTTAGTTATACAAAAAGTTGCAGGTGGACTTTTCAGTGAATTGTTTACATTTACTACTTAGCTTTTGCATATTTAAATTTGTCTTCATAAAATGATACTTCAAAAAAAAAAAAAGCAATTGTAGAACTGTAGGATACTAATCTTCTGTGTATAAAAGATCATTGTTAAGACTATGGCCAAAGAAAAGTCGGTATTTATTATTATCGTTAAGATGGCTATTAACTATATTTCTTCCTTCTGATGTGGCCTGCACCAAGGCATTTTATTTCCTGAAGCAAAATAAAACATAAGTAATGAAAGCAAAATACCTACATTTGGAGATGCAATTTTCTTTCTCCCCATGGTTAACTAATGTCTTTAGATAAATATTTATCTCTTAGCCATATTGCACTAATTTGTTCATATAATCTCTTTACTTAGCTAGAGTTTCAGGAAACTTTGAACGACGACTTCATGGTAGTTGCTGCAACAAATAGACCAGATATGTTGGATGATGCCTTGTTGCGTCCTGGAAGGCTAGACAAGATGATCTATATTCCACCTCCAGACCTGAAGGTGACGTATTACAAATCTACACATGGCTTTAAATGAAGAGATACAAATTGCTGGCATACTTTAAGTGCAAAGGGTGCATAATCCTGTATTTAACAATTGATGCATGATTCACTGAAGATTAGTCACTGAATTTAACGTATATAAAGATTTTTAAGAAAAATAAGCCTAATTTAAATATCTATATTTAATATTTATTTATTTAATTTATTTATATTTTTCACTTTAACTGATTTATGTAGTTAACTCTTTGTTATATGTAATAGTATAAAATCTGTTTAAATAACTGTATTTGCAAAGTCAAGCTACAGTTTAGGAGGTACCAGAGCAAGTTGTCTCTCCTTACTTCAAATTTTTCACGAGCCTTATTCCCAAAGGTGGTATGCTTGTACTGAGCTTTCAAAGAGAGTTGACCCTAATCAGACCAAATATGGAAAATCTCAATCTAAAATATTATGGTTTCATAAAGTAATGAGTTACTGTGAACAACAGACTTCTAACGTATTAGATAAACAGCAGAATAGGCATTATCTCAATAGCATTTTATTCACTCCTCCACCAAGAGAGTTCTGACTTTGGTATTCTCTTTCCTTTTTCCTTTGTTCTAATTTGAAGTTTTCTACTGCCTTAGAGTGGGAGTAATTATTGGTGTGTTTCTTCTTTCTTTCTTGTATAACATGCACCAACTCATAGGGAAGGCTTTCTATTTTGAAAATCTGCACACAAAAAATTCCACTAGATACTGATGTGTCATTACAAGACTTAGCACTCCAAACGGACCTCTTCTCTGGAGCTGATATTGAAAATCTTTGCAAGGAGGTAAGGAATATCCATGGCAATGTATGAAATAACTTCTGAAAGGTTTCCTTTACAGCTTATCTTGGATGTTAGCAGGTCATCTGTAGTACAGATTTTTTTCACAAGTGGTAGTGAAAACATAAAGTGAATGAATAAAAGAAAAGAACTGAACATGAGTTAATTCTTTAAATAAAAAAGCCAAATAAATATGAGGGCTTTCTTCCTTAACTTCTCCCACCAGTAAGTTACCAAACTGTACTGTCCTTTATTTTATATAACCCTTTCTAATCCAAGCTTAAATCTAGATAAACTGTATTCTGTGTACCGCAAGCAATTACAGCATTTTTAGTTGAAATTAGTATGTATTATTAAGGCTAGAGAGGAAAAAAAATTGAGGGAGAGAGCAGTCCATAAGTGTTTGCGATAAGTATTTGAGAGAGGAGACTAGGAAGAAAATCCACAAATGTGGATTGAGGATCCTTTGTATAATCCAGTCAAATAAGTGAATAAAAAAGGTATGCTAGTCTTATTAGATGTGTACATATTCATATATAACCATAAATCATGCAGTGCTGTTTTCAGATATTTTACCTAAAACTTGGTTTCATTTTCATTTCAAAATATTTTTCAATATTTTAAAATACTTGTAACTCTTTTAGTTGCACTAAAAAGTACTGTAAGCACTCAGTTGTTTGTTTCTTTTTTTCCTTAAAGGCTGCTCTGTTGGCATTACAAGAGAATGGACTTGAAGCAACTACTGTAAAACACGAGCACTTTGTAAAATCATTGAGGACTGTAAAACCATCCTTAAACATTAAAGACTTGGATTTTTATGAAAAGTTTTATAATCAAGAATTCACCTCTTGAATCAAAAGTGATGCAGCATACATATTTTTAAATATATTGCAAATTGAGCCAAAGCAAACAAGATTTTAACTTATTCTTCAGTACTGAAATCACAAGTGAAATTTTATCGTAAGTACTGTACTAAGAAGGCAGGAAAGGGATACTGCAAATGTCAGTCTTTGTATCTGATGAAACTGGCAATGGGGAGGCTTAGAACGCTGTGGAACAACAAAGTGGTTCTGTAGATTTCCTAGTTCTCAGTATACACCATGGAAGAATAAGAATATTTAATTTGAAAACGTGTTGTGAAGTCTCCAAAGCACACTGAATATTTAAAAATTTGAAAAAAAAAGTTCAGAATGTGAAATATGAGGAAAAAGTCCTCTATTGTTTCTGGCTGCATGTAATAAAATATGTATTTTTTTTTAATATATGCATATCTGCAAGCTTTCTTGCTGGAAAGCAGATTCCAAAATACAGTTCTAATGAAACAGTTGTCAGTGCTTAATATTTTGCTGTAAGTTTGGGGGTTTGATGGGGGGGGAATAATTCTAGAGCAGCTGCTGTTTATTAGTGCAAACGTTTATTCAGTGCAAACAAGCAAATACTAAGCACATTTTGAATGAAACAATCCAGAGTACACCAGTAACTTATTCTTTGGGGTAGAAGAGGTTTTTTTTTTAATACAAGTTTTTGCAGCACTTTTTTCCCCCTCACGCAACTATTCTTTCTCCATGTATTCTTGTAGGCCGTCTTTTAAAAGGCAGAGGTACACATATAACTTCCATATATATATATTTATATATATATATGTCTTACTGAGATAAGAAGTTGTAACTGTTTTCTTTTTCCCTATGAAAATGCTTATGCAATAAATATTTCACTGTCAAAGATAACTCCAGGTTTTGTATTTCACCTGAGGTTACAAAGCCATCAACAAATACTTCTTTTGCTCAGCCAGGGACCCTGCAGCGTGGTTCGCTATGAGAGCGGATTATAGAAGGGAGGTTCCATGGCAGTTCGTGACAACACAGGACAAAAACAGTTATGAACTGTTCTAGCTTAGGAAACGTCTGTCCTACAACTTGGTAGCTCTGTTCACTACTTCCTAAAGGACTGTCCTGCTGCTTTACTGTTACTGGCAACAGGGGGGGCCAGTGCCATGTATTTCCATTGCCTCAGTGTGCCAAAAAAATAGGCGGAGGTAGTTTCCTAGCAGCTGTGCTGTTGAGCGTGTGGCGACCTTCAAGGTAACTCTCCTCTTTGCTCCAGTGTTGGAGATTATTGCTTTAGACTTACGAGCCCTGAAAGTTGTTAGGACAGCCAGATGGTGGCAGCTGACACGTTTCAAACTGAATCAGTGCCAGCTCTGTCCTTTCAGAGATACTTCTAACCTTCTGTACTTGCTCCCAGCGAGGACCAACAGAGCGAATCTGTGCCCTGCCACTTCCCTTTGCTGTGAGGGAGCACGGTGAAGCCAAGGGAGCATGCAGCAATGGCTACCTGTCCTTCCTCTTGCTTTCCAAGGGGCTGGGGGAAGGGGAGAAAGAGATTTACGGGAGCGGTTTGCTGGCAGCACATGCCTCCCTCCGCTCTGCCCCATCCTGGTAGGAGCATTTTCCAGGGAAGGGTAAGGGGAAGCGCTGGGAGCCGTGTTACCGCAGCAGGATAGTCGGAGCCTGGGCCCGGGTAAAACTAGACAGCGTTGCAGCAGAGGGCACAGAGTGAAATGGTGCTCCTCTGCCGGTCCCTTTACGATCCTTGCCGAGCTGTGAAGAGAGGCCGGCCGAGGCGTTACCTGCACGTGCTGCTCTGTAGGCAGCAGGCTGCAGTGTGTTGTGGCCAGAAGGGGACAAATACAGAAGTGAGGAACGGAGGAGGAAGATTTGAGTAATACAGTAATGAAGCGGGAAGGAGTTGCAGCAAGATGGGGGGAACAACTGGGAATCACTGGCGGCAAAAGGGCAAGGACGGGCCAACAACCCCGAAAGAAGCGTGGAAAGAGCCATCCGCAAAATGGCGGCCGTGGAGGG